ATAGTTCTGGCTAATTCATAACTTGTTCTTGAGAATAAAGAATATTAAAAGGTGTGGTTCCTAAAGTTGATAGAACTAATAAGAATATTCTAAAATTATAAAGCAAAATGTTTATAAAAATGCTAAAAAGTACATAAGATAGGAATTTCAAAGGAGTAATATGAAAAGGCTAATATTGAAAAGAAAATGGGAACTCAGATAATAGAGGTTAGAATTACCTTTGCCCTGAAAGCATTTGCCAATTTCACCACGTGAACTTGAGTTTTGAAAACCTTGTGGGATGAGAGGCTCAGAAATCTGTCCAGAACCTGCAACAAAATTCAGGGGTCAAATAGGAGACCCTTCTTCTCAGTAAGCCAAGACTGTAAATTAGATAAAGGTGATTGAGAAGTAAACCAGCTTACATCCCTATTTGTGGGCTGGGTTAACATCTCCTGGGCAGTCCAAGGAAACTGAAGCCTTGTACTGAGATTGTGGTGATTGCAGATAGGTAGTATTCTAAGACACCTGGAGGAGCTACCTTCATTGTAGGCCTCAAATTTAAAATAATTTTTTAATGTAAAGTTACCAGGACATAGTAAAAGATAATCAGGCATACGTGGAATCAGGTACCTTGAGTATGAGCAGGAACCACCAGAAACAACAGAAAGATACCTGCAAAAATGAGATTTTTGAGTAACCAGAGACTATAAAACAATTATCCCTATTATGTTTAAAGAAATATGTCAAGCTTGAAAATCTTTAAGGAGTAGGAAACTCTAAAATATTATATAGACAAATAGAAATTCTAGAATGAAAATTATAAACAAAATAAAAAACCCAGTAGGTGGTTTTCATAATAGGATAAGCACAGATGAAGACAGAATGAGTGAAATAGAAGGTAAGTTAGAAGAAATAGTTTAGTTCAGAGAGAAAAACATGAGAAAAATACACAAGAATGTAAAGGATTTAAGGACTGACATACCTTTAATCTGAGTTTTAGTAGGAGATAGAGAATGGGGCAGGACTACCTGAAGAGATTATAGCTGAGAATTTTCCACAACCGAAGGATGGTAATCCTAAATCAAGAAGCCCAGTGAATGACGAACAGTGGATGAAACAAAATCTACATCTAGATAAGTAGTGAAAATGTAGAAAACTGAAGAGGAAACAAAAACAGCAGGGGTGGGGATGGAAATTACCATCAAGAGACTACATATGACTTCTGAATAGCAACATGAGATAACGAAGCCAAAAGATAATGAAACAACCTTAGTTTGCTGAAAGAAAATAATTGTCAACTTAGATTTTGATTTCAGTGAAAATATCTTTTAAAAAGAAAGAAAATTTTAAGTTTGCCATGAGAAAGACATTCTATGGGATTAACTTCAAGCAGAAGGAAAGTGAGATGCAAGAAAGAATGAGCAAAGTGACAAATTTGTGGTTAAATCAAAATGAAATATTGAAGCAAAAATAATACAACATTAAGGATTAAAAGAATGACTAGGATCGAAAATTATAGATCATTTATGCAGATAAGTAGAATGATTATCAATCAGACTTCAGTTTAGTAAATGGGCATAGGACCTAGGTTGATGAGTCAACCCAGAAGAAATACAAAAACTATGAAAAGTGTTTCTTTAGTCAGCAAAGAAATTCAACTATTTTAGTAATAATGAGATATTCATAGTGATAAATCATGGCTCTCCAAAATGTTGATGAGACTGATGAATTTAGTATATATAAACATTTCTGGTAGCAGTGTAAAAATTTTGGCTTTACATGATCATTTAGGTCATTTTTTTGTTGTTGTTCCAAAGAACTATTAACTAATGAATTTCAGAAGTAGAAGTCATGCCTATTTGCATTCCTTATGAGTGCAGAGCTACCTGTCCTATGATAGTTGCTTTAAATTTTTTGTTTTATGGCTTCTTTTACTGGGAGACTTAACCAGTTTTGACATTACAGGATAGATTATGTCATGTTGATTTTTTTTAATTGTTCATTTCTGGTGATATACACACAAACACAGAGACCCTGTTTAATCCTTAGAAAAACTGCATCGGCCCTGCTCCAGTGGCTTATGGAACATTGTTTCCTTTAAAGGTCTTTTTTCTAGGATACTCCTATTTTGCTTTTTTGCTATTCCTCTTCCTCACAGGGTCATTGTGAAAAGATGACCAATAAAACACGATAGGTATATTTAATAGATGTTTATTTCTTTTTTTCTTTTTTTGGTCCAACTCTTATTTTAAAATGAAGGGGCTCATAAAAGGTCAGAGGTGAAAGGAACCGTTAAGGTATGTGGTTGATTTAGGGTCTCTTTGTTCATAGAAGAGGAGCCTGGGCACAGCCCACTGCGGTCATAGATTTTGTTAGTGGTCTGGGCAACCCACAACCTGGCTTTTTTGGCTGCTGTTTCTGTGAGGACCAGTTGCTCATGCCTAATATTCAGTAAGCTTGCATCACTAGCTTGGCCTAGTGTGTCCTCTGGTGTTCGTTGTTAACACCACTATGTGAGGCAGTTACTTTCTGGGAAAGGGAGAAGAGGAAGCAGTCACTGAATGAGGGATTCACAGAATATTTCAGAATAGTCTTGACTAAAGACTACTCAGGGAAATAACCTCTTTAGACTGGCAAAGAACAGTTCAGTGAATTTCTGTTGTAATCCAAATTCACCCTTTTCTAGAGAGCAGAGCACCCTTTTCTAGAAAGCCCCAAACAAAAATGCATCGTTTTGCATTAAGCCTGATTGGACTCTGTCACCTCCAAGGTTCTTACCTTTGAAAAATTCTGTGATGTTTCCTGAAAAGTTCTTGTAATGAAACAAGACCTCTTATTGCCTGTAGCATACCTGTGGTGCTGTTGGTGTGACATCTGTCTTATGTTTCTTAACATTGAGTATGAATGACATCATATCAAATTTATGACAGTTTTAAGGTGAGAAGTGGAAATAGCAGTAGGCAGAAAATTGTCCTAGTGTTATGTTCTGGTTCTGATAGTGGCTATATGACCTTGACAAATCCTTACATTTGTAAAATGTAACACATCATCTTTTTATTTTGCTGGAGAATTAAAGGAAAAGTGACATTAAGAAGTAAGAACTTTCACAAATAACGACAGTATATTCTACACGAATGTTCTGATTATGGAAAAGTAATATGCTTTTGTTGTCCATTTTGACTGAACCATAGTTTAATATAAATTTATTTAAATTGACTCATCTAAAAGAAAAGAATTAGGGAAAATAATTTCTATGATTTTGATCATTCTCTTGATGCTTTTCCTGATTCTATCCGTTCAGATACAAAATTGCTTCTATTTGCTCATAGATATATGGAGGTAAGTGTCAATTGTTTTTATTACCAAGTTTTAATTTCCTGGTACGTATACTTTATTACTTTGTGGATTCCTAAATCCAGTTTAGAAGTTAATTCACATGATAATAGATGGGAAATAGATCAGTTTTTAGTAATAGGGAGAAGATTAGGTACATTTTTAACCAAAATTATTTTTATGCTATCAGCTCTGTGTTCTCTGGATTATTGGGGTTTCAGTTAAGGGATACTCAGGTATTCAGTAAATTATATACATAGATGTGTTTTAAGAATTCCCATTCTTGTCCATAATTTTTTAGACATTATTTCATATTAAGTTCATTTGATTATTTGATCTCTTGCTAAAACAAGAATTAAACAATATTTTTATATTAGAATTTTTAAAATTTTGCTTTAGATTTTGCTTTAGAGTATCTTGACGTGGTGTATTTTTGCTTTTTAACTTTTTGATAAAATATGCATAACAAAATTCACCGTTTTAACCATTTTTAAATATACAGTTCCTTGGCATTAAGTGACTTCTTGTTATTGCGCGACCATCGCTGTTATTTTCACAACCTTTTCATCATCCCAAACTAAATCTCTGTACGTATTAAAAAATAACTCTCCCTTACTCTCATCCTCAGTCCCTGGCCACTACCATTCTACTTTCTTTCTCAGTGTATTTAACTAATACATGTATTTCATGTTAGTGGAATTACACAATATTTGTTCTTTTGTGTCTAAGTTATTTCACTTAGAATAATATTTTCAATGTTCATCTATGTTATAGCATGATCAGAACTCATTCCTTGTTAAGGTTCAATTATATAGTGTGTATATATCACATTTTGTTTATTCATTCATCTGACAATGGATATTTGGGTCGTTTCCACCTTTTGGCTAGTGTGAATAATGCTACTATGAACATGGGTGTATAAATATTTGTTGAAGTCCCTGCTTTCAGTTCTTCTTGGGTATATACCCAGAAGTGGGATTGCTGTATCTTGGTAATTCTGTTTAATTTTTTCAAGAACTGCCAAATTGTTTCTGCAGTGGATGTACCATTTTACATTTCTAACAGCAATGTACAGGGTTCCAGTTTTTCCACATCTTTGCCAACACTTAGTTGTTTACTGTTTATGTGTTGTATTTTTAGGTGTTTGAAATTCAGCTGAGGTTTTTTATTGATACCAAAGTATCAGAAAATGTTTTTTAAGGAGAACAATATGCTGTATTGTAAAGGAATCTTAGATGGCACTTGTCCTGCAAACTACTTCCTTTTCAGTAAGAAAGAAGAAATTCTCTTCACCCAGCCTCAGTCTGCTTTTTATTCTCTTTTCTATTATCACTGTTTGTATGAGAGAAAGGGAACTTTGCATCTGTGTTGAATTATGATGAACTTGCTGAGTTGCGAGGTGTATTACCTCCTCCTCTTACTTGGGAGGAATTTTAACTGGTTCTGGGTGACATTGGAATTTACTTTGGGGTGATGCTGACCAAATTAGATGGAAAGTTAGAAGCTAGATGGTCTATCTTATAGGAGTTTTGGGCGAATAATACTTGGTTTCTGAGCCTTATTTTTTTCTTGTGCACGAAAACTAAATTAGGCAGTCTTTGGAGGACCTTCACCGCTATAATATTTTGTTTAGTAGGACACTGTGGATCTCTGCCACTCACTTTCTTCTTAATTTTTTTGTGCAGGGATCATGGCCCAAGTAGCAATGTCTACCCTGCCAGTAGAAGATGAAGAGTCTTCAGAGAGCAGGATGGTGGTGACATTCCTCATGTCTGCTCTAGAGTCCATGGTGAGATGGCTTTACAGTTATATAAAACGTTCCATGGTTGGATGAGATTGGGCTTGTGGATGAACTTGATTTGTTTTTTTAAAACATGTTTTTTTGGTTTATTAATAGTTTTTTTTTGCTTGAATAATAGTTATGGGTTTAAGCCTTTAAATCAAATTTTATTACCATGTTTCAGAATATTATTTTAATGCTTAATATTTTACATTTAATTTCAACTTTTACCAACCAATATCTTAGGCAATCCCTTGTTTTGTAAGCATTAACTTTGAATTTATGTGCAATAGTTGAAGTTTCTCAGAATAAGTTTGGTATTACATGGTGTAGTGCTAGTGTTTCATCGTAGCTGTATAAAGAACATTATTAGAATTATGAGCCATGAGAACATAGTCACAATTTCATATCTATATTTTATTGTGCTATGCATTCACAGTTGTCCTTACTCTGCCACCTTTTACTAAATATGTAGTGTGTTAGCTCTTTATTTTTAAAATATCTGTATCATACGTAGCAAATTATAGCAAAATATTAAGTATTTTACTGTATTTTTTGTATTACTTTGGTGATAGTAATACAGTTTGCTTAGATTTTTATGGATATGTATCTGGAATTCTAGTATTCGATTTCATAAATTTAAAAAGCATCAGACTTAGATATTTTTTGACACATTGAAATTATTCTAAGTAGGAAGAAGCTATGTATTTTCTAAGTTTTGACTGGTATTAGATATTGTTTATCTCATAGGTTTCAGTATGACATAATTTGTAGATTCTTTTGTTTTCCCATTAAGGCAATTCTTTCCTTTTTTTTTTACTATTTAAGAATTTTAAAAAATTATCTTTGGAAAGAGAAATTTAAAATGGTTAGTGGCTATTTATTATTTTCTGAATGTCACTTATTTCTGCCTTGTGATCATAAAACCAGCCAAAATTTGTGGCTATCCTGTTAAAATAATTTAGAGATTAAATCCTACTCTGTTGATATTAATCTTTTATTGAAGATTTCTGATCATTGCAGTAGGTATATAACGTTATTTATTCAAGATGACGTTTTAAAGCAATATTATGCAAGTCATTTTCATTTAAGAAATGTAGAGGATGGTTATTGTACAAATCAAAAACAAATGGAGAGCTGTAGTTTTTGACAAATGATACTGTGAGAACATAGGCTATTTGGCAAAAAAAAAAAAAATTCAAGTCTTTATCTTGTGCCAAGTTAAATTCTAGAAGTTCTAAAACAGTAGTTATATTAAGATAAACTAAAAAGTCAGAGGAAAATTCTAATTGTGTATTTAATTGCATAAGCATCTTTTCTATGCCAAAAATCAGTGAGGTATTTTTATATATCAGTGAGGAAACACTACTAACATACTAGAAAAATAAGTAAAGGATATGCTAATTTACAGAAAAATATCTAAGGTACAATACTCTTTCATTTTAATACGTCAGTGGATTATTGATTGTACTAGGCACCCTTTTAAAATGTTTCTGGAAGAGTTGCACTATAACATTTGTTAGTATATTGTGAGTTAGCTCTTCTAGAAGTGCAGCTGGGAGTGTGAACTGATAGAGCCTTCATTAGAAAGCAATTTGCAATAGGTTTTGAGAACCTTAAAAGTATTTACATTCCTAGTCAAAACTCTTTGACTCTGTTGTTTCATATCTCTGACTCTGTTCTGAGAAAGTCATTCAAAATACACATAAATATTTTGTTCCCAGATCATTATTTCAGTGTTAATTTTAGGAGTGAAAATTGGAATCACTTCTAACATTTTCAGTAATGAAATGAATTATTGTATATCCATGAGATGGAATGTTACGTACTGTTCAGATTTTAAAGAATATTTAATCTCATAGGGATATACTAAGTAAAAGTCATACTTAGTAAAGTATACTCACCTAAATGTGATTCTTATTGCGTATACATATGGAGATACTTCTGGAGGTGAGATTGTAGTGGATGTTGTACTGTATCTTCCAGACTCCTCTTTAAGACTGATGGCACTAATCACCCCAGCCGTTGTGTGTGTTAGAGGCAGCCCTACCCAAGGTCTCTCCCTTTCCTTGGGGAGGGCCATTCAAGTGCCAGAGTTCTGATGCAGGTGCATCAACTTTCAGCTCTCTCAAACTCTGCCATTTAATTCTCCCTCTGCCGAATCCTGTTCCTCTAGCACCTCACAGGTGTTGTCATTGAGAGTACTCTCCCATAAGCCTGTGTACAAATCTGAGTCTGTTATTTGAACAGTAACAAATTACAGGGGATCACTGCCTTTTTCCTTACAAATTCTGTGTTTTCTTCTGTTTAAAATCAGGGTTAAAATCTTTGTAGAAAGAGAGGTAATGAAGACTTTTTTTTTTTTAATATATGATAAGGCCAGAAGCTAGGAACTTTATCCATTTCCAGTTTATGTATTAAGACAGTGTAAGTGATAAGATTTTCTATCCCTCCAGCAGAAGCAGTGCTTTCGAATTACATCTGTGTTTAATAAGGTTTGCTATTGTATTTTAGTGTAAAGAACTGGCCAAGTCCAAGGCAGAAGTGGCCTGCATTGCAGTGTATGAAACAGATGTGTTTGTTGTTGGAACTGAGAGAGGACGGGCTTTTGTCAACACCAGAAAGGATTTTCAGAAAGATTTTGTGAAATACTGTAAGTATTGTATTTTTATGTTTTGTATTTCATAAATACTAAACTTAAACATTTATGTATAACATGTCTTATTTTATTCTAAAGCAGAATGAGATTTATATTAAAAAAATACTTTCTGAAATGTCCATGGAGACATTTTAACTTTTTTCGCACTTAGGGAAAAAAAAGTGCAGCTCACTGCCAGCCTTAATTTAACATTACGCATAGGAGTGTTACGTTTTCTAGGATTTAACATTATCAGCAATCAAGAATTACTTTTAGAAATGAATGTACCGCTACTAAAAACAGAATGCTATAAATAGAATGATGTCATTTGTTTCCAAAGACTATCGATATACTAGAGTGATGTGAAAATAATAATAAAAGCGAAATACTTCGTGGCAAACTTTGAGGGTAAGGATAGGACTGTAATCGCTTGTTATCTCAGGGCAAATGTTGCAGCTGTAAGCGCTGCTGCTGCTGAGTATTCTTGGGGCAAACGAGAAATGGGTTAAGATGCTCAAAATGAATCACATGGTAATATATGAGAATAAATACTGAAGAGTTTAAGAAAATGGTAAATGTTTATTGTACTCTGCTCCTTGCTTGGCATTACTCTGGATTGGTGAAACACATTAGAGAGAAATTAGACAAATTCTGGATCGATTAAAAGTTCTTATCCAGATAAGCATTTCTTTTCTCGATAAATAGTAGGTATGTTGAAAACAAGTCTCTTTCTATGCATTACATTTTTGTAAGCATGATGCAGAGTTAAACAGGTCTCCCTGACTCCCTCAGTAGAATCAATTTGTCAAGAGTCCTCAGCAAGTTTTGTGGTCCTCCAATCTATTGTAGGCTGGTAATACTATGACCCTTCACAGTATGACAGTTTTATATCTGTGTTTAATCTAACACTGCCCTTAGGTTTTATATTAACTCTGATACAGCATTTTCTTAAACATGGAAAGAGAACAAAAAAGAGTATATCTATAGCCATTTAATATATGTGTCTTTAAGATCCAGACTTAAATTTCTATTATTAAGTTAGATCCAGTTCATGATAAATCGAGCAGATCATTGGTAAATAAAAATAGGTTTCTTTATTCATTAACTTTAGTTCTCAATTGTATTTTTAGTCCTTTTAAAAAAATGTATCTTCTCTACATTATATGCCTTACTCCCCACCAGATGTGATCTTTTAAACTTTACGGCAGTAATCTATTTTTAAATATTTTTCTTATTTTTTATTATTTTGAGAATTTTTAAGGCTTTGATTATGTTTATATTTAAGTTTATACTAATAATGTTTCTTTGATTATGTTTATATCAGCTGCCATCTGTCCCATGAATACTATAATCCCACTGGCAGCTGTGTTTATATTCATCTTTTCTATACTGCCTTGCTTAGTTGGTTCTCCAGTGGTTTAGAACTAAGCATTAGGGCAACTGTCCTCAGTTTCAAATTGTAGCCCCTGCCTATTACTATTCATGCTTTTTTATTGTTACCAGTAATTTGATGCCATGGAGAATAACCTTTGGATAGAATTCTTAAGTACCTAATATTTCTATAAATTATTTCACAGATAGGGCTCATCGTAGTGGTCTTCTGAAGCCTAATTAATAGGTTTGTAAATCAGTTTTAGAAAATTTTGAAAAGAATTCTAAGCTCTTTTTCAGAGTTTAGAAAAGCGGTATCCAATAAAAGTAATATAATATTAATCACTCATATAATCTAAAAATTTCTAGTCATTACATTGATAAAAAGTAAGGAGAAAAATGAAGTTCCTTTTAGTGGTTATATTTTAATGTGATACATCTAAAATATTATTCAACATGTAATCAATATAAAAAATTATTAATGGGGTATGGGTATTTTGCCTACTTTTTTTTGTACTGAGTCTTCAAAATCCAGCGTATATGGTAAATTTACAATACCTCTTAATTTGGACTGTCATATTTCAAGTGCTCAGTAGCCACAGGTGTCTAGTTGTTATTGTGTTGGACTTTGCAAGCTTAGAACATTTTTTGTAGTGATAATCTTCCCATATTTGTTTGTAGCTGATAAATTACTGGTATGATAATTTTCTTTTTAAAAACACTAGTAGCTAATTTGTAGGATTTTTAGTTATAGCTACACTTATTTCAGAGATGATCATCTCTTAGTATTTTCATTCATGTCTTTTAGATTTTTATTTTTAAAATTACATTTTTCCTTATCCTTTCTGTTTTTATATAATACATCATAAATGTTAAAATATAGGAAAAAATATTCTTATTAAAAGCCAGATGTTAAGATAATGGATACAGGCCTTTTATAGCATTAATTATTTTACAGGTGTTGAAGAAGAAGAAAAGGCGGCAGAGATGCATAAAATGAAATCTACAACCCAGGCAAATCGGATGAGTGTAGATGCTGTAGAGATTGAAACACTCAGAAAAACAGTTGAGGACTATTTCTGCTTTTGCTATGGTAGGTTATACACTTAAATTTTCTAAAAGATACATAATGTAATTGAGTTTTGTAAAGGGTAAATTTAACATAATATAACACTTTCACAAATTGAATGGATTAATTTCCATATAATTGGGTTAGCATTAGGAAAAACCTTACTTTCCATTTCCAGCTTGAAGGAACCCAGAAACTAATACAGCTATTAGAACTGTTTTCTTTTTTAGAGTAGTTTTAGATTTCACAGCAAATTTAAGAGGAGAGTACAAAGATTTCCCATATAACATCGTCCTTTACACATGTGTAACACTTTACTATCAGCATTCCCCTCCAGAGGACCTGTATCAGCACATCATAATCACCCAAAGAGAGTTCGCTTATTTTTGACATGTGTGCCAATTCTCCTAAAAACCACCTTTTGTTAATCCAGTTATGTGTAAACAGGGGGAAGATAGAGGTTACATTGTGAGGTTGTAGATAAAATTCAACTCTGGTGAATGGGGTTTCTAGTATCTGGGCTCACTGCCTGGTACACACCAACAGCCTGACAGGATACAATCATTTGTGAATGTAGATTGTGTTCATCTAATAAGTTTTCAATGAGAATATTAACGAAAAATTGCCTGGTATAGTAACAGTTGGATTTGTCAGGCTTCCATGTTCTGAGGCTGAATTATGTATGAAAAGATTGTGTTATACCAGGGTGAGACCATCATGAAGAAAGAGAATAGTGCAAGAAATCAGCCATTTTTCCTTTCATGTAGGTTTTATTTTAATATAAATATCTTAACATACTTTTCATTTTGGCCCTTTGGATTCGTTGCAGGTATAGTAGCTCTTTTGCGAACATAGGAGTTAGGGCCTTATCGTATTTCAAAGTAGTTTCAAAATCAGCTATTAGAAGAAAGCATGCCATTTATTAAGCCATGATAAACTAATGATGGTTTAGTTTTTGATCTTAGCATTTAATGGTGTTTATCCTCCTTCCTCCTTACCTCACCCCTTGTTCCTCACCCCCAGGGAAAGCTTTAGGCAAATCAACAGTGGTGCCTGTTCCCTATGAGAAGATGCTACGAGATCAGTCTGCTGTGGTAGTGCAGGGGCTTCCAGAAGGAGTTGCCTTTAAACACCCTGAGAACTATGATCTTGCAACTCTGAAATGGATTTTGGAGAACAAAGCAGGGATTTCATTTATCATTAAGAGGTGAAGTACTTTCTTCTTTGACCACCAACAGTTTATTCTTATGAAATTGATTATTCAGCTTATTTTAATATACTTTAAAAATTCATGCTTACTGTAAGACTCATTTAAATTTATGCCTTATAGTAATTTTGTTTTGTATATTTATGTATAGTTTTTGTTTTGTTTTGTTTTAATGCAGACCTTTCCTGGAGCCAAAGAAGCACCTAGGTAAGTGATTGCTTTGCTTATACAATAGCCAGATGGATTCCTAAACCTATTTTGCCAAATTTAATATATTTTAATGTTTTCTTTGAGAATATGAATAAGACATTTTGGAGTGGGATATTAGGATGTTCATATAAACCAATGAAAAGTCATCGAGCTGAAAAAGTAGAGACTTGTTTTTTATTTTTAGTTCTGCTACTGGCTTTATGATGTATTTAAGGTTTTATGTTTGCAATATATAAGATCATATTCTATATTTGCTCTCATTTCCCAGAATTATGAGTATGATTTAACTTAATGTTAATTGAACAAGCATGGAATTATTGGGCACAAGATTGGGTGGAGAGGGGATAAACAACTGTACAAGTTTTAAAGCTTTTAAGTAGGTCTCATGGAAGAGATAAAAAGTCCATGAAGTCACCACAGCAAGAGCATAAAGTACACACTGCAGGAATGGTTAGAGAAAGCACTATGGTTAGAGAAGTCGTTGGAGGAAAGATTCTTTTATAGCCCAGGAAGGCTTTCATGCAAACAGGGCATTAAGATGGGCCCTTTTGAAGAATGAGGAGGATTTCAAGAGGACTTTTTCTTGGGAAATTCAGCCATTTCATTTGAAGGGAATAGTGATATTTAGAAGACTGGTACCCCTTGGAGCCGCATTTATTTGAGACTTTGAAAGTAAATAACCATTATCATTGGCAACGTAACCAACGTAAGGATGCAAGGACAATAATAGACACACCTAAACATTTTGTTTTCTGTTAAATAACCTTTGTTTTGTCCCCTCCATGATGCAAAGATTAATTTTTTAGCAGCTTTATTGAGGTTTAATTGTCATATAATTCTATGACATGCCATAGAATTCACCCGTTTTAAGTATATAATTCAGTGGTTTTTGGTAGCTGTACAATTAAAAAACTTAAAAAATTTTATATCCATTGCCACGGTCTAATTTTAGAATATTTTCGTCTTACCCGTCTGTTAATGCATGAATGTTATATAAATGAAGTAGATAGTATGTAATCTTTTGAAATTAACTTTTTTCACTCAGCATAGTTTAATTGAGGTTCATCCATGTTGTTGAGTATATTGATAGTTTTTTCCTTTTTATTGCTGAATAGTACATATTCCATTGTATAAATATACCACCGATCTATCCATTCATCAGTTGGTAGACATTTAGATTGTTTCCACTAGTGTCAATACTACTATAAGCATAATTAAATAAGTTTTTATTTGGACATAATACTTTAATTTCTCTTAGATATATATCCCTAGGAGTGGAATTGCTGTGTCATAGGGTAATTTTACATTTAACTAAGAAATTGCCAACTATTTTCCAAAGTGGATGCACCATTTTATATTCCTACTAACATCATTTGAAGGTTCAAGTTCCTCCACATCCCTGTCAGCATTTAATTGTCTTTTGGGTTTGATTTTTGCCATCTTAATGGGTGTGACATGGTATCTCATTGTGGTTTTGATTTATGTGTCCCTCATTACTAATGTTGGGTATCTTTTCATGTGCTTATTAGCTATTTATATTCTTTGGAGAAATATGTATTCAGATATTTTCCCATGTTTTAATTGGGTTATTTGTATTTTTATTATTGAGTTGGAAGAGTTTTTCATACAGTCTCGCTATGTATATTTTCTCCAGTTCTACAAGTTGTCTTTTTACTTGCTTGATAATGTCATTTGAAGAACAAAAATTTTTATTTCTTACGAAGTCCAGTTTATTCTTTATCACTGTGCTTTTGATGTCATTATTTAAGAAACTGTTGCCTAACCCAAGGTCATGAAGACTTGTTACGTTTCCTTCTATAATGTTTTAGATTTAGTTCATATATTTAGATCTACAATCAAATTTGAGTTAATATTTGTTTATGATACATGGTAAGGGTATAAATTCATCTTCCGATTGTGCCAGCACAAGTCGTTGAAAAGACTATCCTTTCCTCTGGAGTTGCTTTGGCATCTTTATAAAGGATAGTTGACCTTGACTGTTTATTTCTGGGCCTTCTACATAATGAATTAAGTGAATCGTGTGTGAATCAAGACAGTTTACCTCTTTACAATGATTGACTTTTATTTCTTAATCCTATTGCTTGGGCTATAACATCCAATACAGTATCAAATAGAAGTGAGGATGGAAGACATCACCTTGTTCTCTATATTAGCTGGAAGGCATTTAGGCATTCACCATTATGATGTTAGCTGTTGGTGTTTTATATATGTCCTTGAAAAGATTGCTTTGTGATGTTTAAGTAAAAATTCATACTTTTTCATGATCACTAATTTTTCCCCTGAAGTTTTCTAGGTTTGCATTACTCTGTCTTTTGTATTTTGTGATATCTTTTATTCTAGAAACTTGTTTTGAAACATTGGGGCCTGATGTTAATTAATGACTATTTCTATAGGGTGTTTATTAATGAGTGGTCCAAGTGGGTAGGTTTGTATGACTCGGTTTTTTTGCCATACCAACTCTCAAAGTAATTGAAATATTGTGATTGTAATGGGATTTCATTTTCCAGTTTTTAAAATTAACAGCTCTTTTGAGATATAATTTACATACAATAAACTATACATATTTTAAATGGATAATTTGGTAAGTTTTGACACATGTATACACTGAGAAAAACCACTACAGTCAAGATAGTGAACACATCTTTCACCCCCAAATTTTTTATACCCCTTAGTTAATTCTTTCCTTTGCTCCTTCCAGCCCTTGTCCTGAGGCAACCACTAATCTTGCTGTCACTGTAGATTTGTTTACATCTTCTAGATTTTTTAATATAAATGGAGTCATATAGTATATACCTTTTTTATATTTGACTTATTTTGAGACTTACCCAGGTTGTTTCATGTTTCAGTAGTTCATATATTTTTTTTTATTGCTGAGTAGTATTCCATTGTATAGATACACTACAATTTGTTTACTCATTCTGTCTATGAAAATTTGAGTGTCTGTTTCTTGGCTATTGTAAAGAAAGGACTATGAATATTTGAGTGCAAGTCTTCATGTGGACATATATTCACATTTCTCTTTGGTAAATACCTAAAGTTGAAATGGTTAGATCATATGGTAGTTATATATTTAACTTTTTAAGAAACTGCCAAATGACTTTTTACATGACTTCTGTTCCCACTAACAATGTGAGAATTGTTGTATATCTTCATCAGCATTGGAGTCAGTCTTTTCTTTTTTTTCATTCAACAAAATTTACAATGTTACATTGTACAATTCAGTGAGTCTTAGTATATGTACAAGATGTACTATTGCTGCTGTCTAATTACAGAACATTTTCATCACTCTAAAAAGAAAGTTTGTATGCATTAGCAATCATTGTTTTCTCATTCTTCAGAGCCAGATCTGCTGCTCTTAATAGAAATCTTTATCATTGTTTATACATCAGTAGTCTTAGTTTACATTACCAGAGTAATAGTATATTGCTGTATTTGCTTCACTGGTAAAAATAAGAGCTTTTTCATTAAAGAGAGGGTGTGTAAGGGGCTGAAAATTGTTAGATGAGTGTTATCTCTAGTTATTTTATAAGGGAGAACCAAGGATACTTTTATAACTAATGCAGTGCTCATTCTAGTGTGACCCAGAGCTATGAAGTCCCCCTCTCTCAGTTCATTCTATATTTAGGATCTTAGAGAATATTAGTCATATTCGAAGAATTGGAAGAACCTAAATCTAATTTTTTTTTGTACATAGGTGCTCGCGTGATGGTAACAGATGCTGAAAGGTCAATGCTATCTTCAGGTGGAAGGTAAAACATATTTCATTAGTACTAATAAACTTCCACACTTTACCAAGTTTAAGTTTTTGATTATTGAGGAGTTAGAATATTAAAAAGGCCTATATTGCACATTTTGAAGTTTAATATGCAGTCAAATTGTTTGGGGATCCTGTGAAAATGCAGTTTTTGACCTAGTTCTGTATGGTAGTTGTTCCTGGGTAAAGCCGATGTGATTGTCTAATGATCACATTGTGGATAGGAAGGCCTTATAGTAAAGTGGAATTTGAAAGTTAGTATGCTACACTAATATTTTGTTATACTTCTAAAAAAGTTTAAATTGGAATTAAAGTACTAAATTTAGTTGACAAGTCATATTTATATGAGAAATAAGAATGTAAATTTTAAACTTGAGTCAGTTATGCATTCAGCTTGGTCAGGTGAGTGATTTTATGATGAACCAGTGCATTTGAATACTATGTGAGCCGCCCTCACTAATGCATAGCTTTATCAGCGTTCCCTTTTCCTTTCAGTTGTGGCCCCATCAAAGTGAAAACTGAACCCACAGAAGATTCTGGTACGTACTAGTGCTTTTAGAATCAATTATGAAAATTAAGGGAGCCTTTTCCTCAATTTAGAAGGTTATATTCTGATTCATTACTTATCCTTTTGTTTTGATGAGAAAAGGACAAATTCATTCCAATGGTGATATTATTTGTTAATGCCGTCTTATTATTATATGAAACCCAAAATGATAATTTGCTTGATAAATGGTAGCTGGAAGTTTGTTGCTAATTACATATTTGTATTAAGTTTATTAATAATTTTTTCCAGTTGTACAGGAATAGTAGTATAAAATGTCAGCTAGTTCTATAGTGCTTTTTACAAAAATCACAGCAGTGGTATTCAGAGAGCAGTAAGTACCTTCTTACTCTCCTTTTCCCTTTGCACTCCCATTTTCTACTCTCCAAGGAAACTGTTTTTAGCTCTAAACTTTTTTTGTTATTTAATTCCTTATTTTTAAATGTTATGTTTATACTGATATTTCATACAGATTTTTTGGATAGCTTTATTGAGATATAATTTATGTGCCACAGAATTTTACCTGTCTTAAGTATATAATTCAATAATATTTTAAGTAAATATACAGAGCTTTACAGTTGTTACCACAATCTGATTTTATAACATTTCCGTCACTCCAAATAGAAGCTTGGTTCCATTTGCAGGCACTCCTTATACCCCCTCCCCAACTAATTCAAGTTTCATAGGCATATAAGAAGAATCATAACATTACATGATGTTTTGCATTTTGCTTCTTTTACTCTGCATGTTTTGAGGCCCATCTTCAAAAAAGTGAAGCATATTTAAGTAGTTCATACCTGAGTGTTAGTCCACTGTACAGATATATTACCTTCTATTTACTGGTAGACATATAAGTTGTTTGTACTTTTTGGTTGTTTTGAATACCACTGCTGTGAACAGCCACATATGTGTCTTTGTGTAGAAATATGTCTCTGTTTCTCTTGAATAGGTAACCTAGGAGTGAATTGCTGGTTCTATGGAAACTCTATGCTTAACTTTTGAGTTACTGATAAACTGTTTTCCCAAGTGGTTACACTATTTCATTTTCTTAGCAGCAGTGTATGAGAGTTTCAGTTTCTCCATATCTGGGCCAGCACTTGTTATTGTCTTTTTTGATTATAGCTATCCTAGTGGGTAGGTGTTTGTTTCCTTTTGCTTTTAAATAGACTTTCTATTTTTAGAGCAGTTTTAGTCACAGCAAAATTGGACAGAAATTACAGAATGTTCCCAATATACCTTCTGTCCCCACACATGCACAGCCTCCACTGCTATTAACATCCTACATCAGAGGGTACATTTAGTCAAATTAATGAATCTACCTTGACACATGATCACCCAAATTCCATAGTTTAGGGTCAGTCATGTATATTCTGTGGGTTTTGACAAATGCACTATTACAGTATCCTTTTTGTAGTTCATGTTCCTAAAAATTTTCTGTGCTCTGCCTATTCATTTTCCCTAATACTCAGAAAAGCAAAAGCTTTTGTAAATATAATTTTGTAAATACAATTTTCTCTTTTTTTAATTGGGTTGTTTATTTTCTTTTTGAGTTATATGAGTTCTTTATATATTCTTGGTACAAGTCTTTTATCAGAAATAAGGTTTTGTAAATATAATTTTTACTCTATGGCTTGTTTTTTCGTTTTCTTAATGGTGTATGTTGAAGCCTAAAAAAAGTTAATTTCAATGCAGTCGAGTTTTCCAGTTTTTCCCCTTGTTTGTGCTTTTAGTGTTAAATTAGAAAAACTGCCCACCTAAGGTCATAAAGATTTTTACACTTACGTTTTCTTCTTGAGTTTTATAGTGTTAGCTCTTATTGGTTAGATCTAAGATCTATTTTGAGTCAATTTTGTGCATGTTGTGAAGTAAAGGTCTAATTAATCATTTTGCATGTGGATATACTGTTGTCCCAGCACTATTTGTTGAAAAGATATCTTTTCTCCATTGGATTGTCTTAGCACCTTTGTCAGAGGTCACTTGACCAAGTTTACTTCTGCACTTTAATTTCTGTTCCCTTGAACTCTAATGCCTACTTCTATGCCAGTACCATGTTGTATTTCATGTAGTTTTAAGGTTATATTTAACATACGGAAAATGAAGATGTCATTATTTTACTTTCAGTCCCCCCCCCCCACTTTTACTATAAATTGATTTTTACTGTTCAAGTTATTTGAGATCTAAGTGTGATCTTGAAAATTTTACTTAATGTTTGCTTTCTTGCCATGTTTCATTTTTAGGGCACAGAATTTTTTGCTTATTTAAAGCACACAGCTATTCCTGACTTGATTACAATTTTATTGTTATAATTGTTATTCTGGTTGCATGATAAAAGAATGAAAGCAACTTCATCTTTTAAAAATAATATATAGTTTTAAAAGATCATTGAATTATTACTAGGAATATATTTTATAATTAGCCTTAGCGGTTGGCAAAGAAAAACGTATTTACAGTATTTTCATAGTAAAGAAATGTGTAAACTTAATAACCTGAGCATAGGCTATAAGTGGGGTCTTAAAATTTCAATTGCATTAAATGCAGGTTCATATCATTGTAAAATAATGACATCTCCAGTTTAACCTCTTGCAGAGGTTGGGAGTCAGTTGATAATTGTTACATCTGAATTCTGTTGCAGAGCCTATCATTGTGGGGCTTTTACTATGCTCTCAAATTAGTTAAAAATTTATCTTATGCAGTGAATTTTAGATTTAGGATTCATCTAGGAATACAGCGATGGTTTTATTAGAAAATCTCTTAACTCACTTTCTTATATTATTGAACTAATGAGAAATAATATCTGGATAGATGCTACAGCCATGCTGCCCTGAATGTGCTCGATCTTGTCAGGTCTCAGAAGCTAAACAGGGTCGGGCCTGGTTAGTACTTGGATGGGAGACTGCCTAGGAATACCAGATGCTGTAGGCGTTTTTTTAAAAAAAAATCTGGATAGATGATGAAAAGGCAGCAGAAATCCTTAACATGATTGGTTGGAATATTACATATAATTGTAAATGCCAACCTAGTGAACTACTAGAAGCACTCCTCATAAGACAAAGTAGCACATTTACCCCTGTTTCATACCAGTGTTCTAGATGTACAAACCAGTACAAATATGAGGTGTAAGTAATTAGAAAATAAAGGGCACCAGCAACTTTTACAGGAGAGTCAATGAGGCTACTACTGAAAACAAAACATTTATAATCTGATTTTTACTTTAAGAAGTGTTAAAAATTCCAGATGTAATGAAAGTTTAGATTAAAAGGACATGAAAAAAGTTAATAATCCTTTGAATGCTTTCTAAGCAATAAATTTGACTAGGGAAAAATCTAAAAATTTAATGTGACAAAATCAGCCAAAATGTGTCAAAGGGTACGTAAGACAGGGAATATCTGTAAGACAAATGACAAAGAGTTGTTTTGTCTGACTTACAAAGAGCTAATCCAAAATATAAATGACCAGATATTCAAGAAACAAGAGAAAATGTTCAGTCTAATTAAAGAAATGGAGGTAAAAATTCCAAGAAAGATAGTTTTACACCCAGGAGATTGGCAAACATTAAATTCTACTCATACTCGCTCTCAGTAAAAGGTATGGAGAAATAGCAAATTTAGAAGTTCTCGATGTGTGTATAAGTTGTTGCTCTCTTATGGATGATACCTTGACATTTTTTATCATTTTAAGATGCATATGTTCTTTGATCCATTGCTGCCTTGCAAAAATGGCATTTAACATACAGCTTCATCAGTGGAATTCCTGTTGCCGTTAAACACAGTAAGATAAGTGTTATCTATTGATAAGTATCTGTAAGACAGACTACTAGTTAGTTGGAGAAAAGCAAGATGTCAAAGAGATGAATAGTGTAATACTTAAAATTTTTACTTTAAAATGTTCCATTTTGAAATTATTGCAAATAGAAAACCTGCACATATAGTGTAAGGAACTTTTTCCTGTACCATTTGACAATAAGTTGCCAATATTATACCCTATCATTCTTTTAACTGCTTCAGAGTAATTCTTACAAACAAGGATATACGAACAATAATACAAACAATATGATCATCAAAATAAGGAAAATAATTCTTATCTAATTCTCAAACCCTTTTCAGAATTTCAAAAAAATTGCCAATTTTTTCATTAATGGCTTCTTTACAGTAGTTTTTGTCTTTCCTTTGACCTTGACACTTTTGAATAAAGTGTGATATTTCCTCATGATTAGATTTATATAATTTGTGTGTGTGTGTGTGTGTGTTTTGCAAAAATGTCAGATGTGTTTTGTATTCTTTAATATTGTCAGTTGGCAGTTGATTTCCATTTACGCCTTTACTGATGATATCTTATTTATGGGATTGGTTAGTTTTCCTAGGCTTCTCCACTGTGAATTTACTTTTCCTTTGTAATAAATACATTCATGGGAGTTTCTCTGAGACAGTGGAAATATGTACCACTCCTGATCAGACTTTGAATTAAAGTCAGTTCATTTATATGAGAGTACACCCATGTATTTCTGTTTTATTCAGTGCATCACAATACATTATTATCATTATTTTGATTTGCCAATAGTTCTTGCTTTGGCCGTTGGAGCCACTTCAGGTTGTCCTCTGGGTCCTTTTCTGGTCCTTGGGTCATTGAAAATATCACCATTATTTTTATAGAACTTTTTATTTTTTACTTTCTTGCAAAACAGGGTGGTCAAGTTTCATCTTTCCTATTCAGCTCTAGAATCAGCCATTCTAACAAGAAGCCCTGGTTCCTTTTTGAGGAGAGTGGTATAAAGAAATCAGTATCTTGGTGCTAGATGTGCTTATTGCGGTTGGAATGGCTCTGCTTCTGAGTGGACAAAGCTAGGGAATCTCTGTGTGTGGATGTTTACATACAGATAAATATATATATGAATACATACATACATTTACATCTATTTTTTTAATGCTTTTATCAGCCTGTTAACACTCCAAGGTTTCTTCCTCCTCCCTTTTCTGTATAATTCTATTCTGTCACAGA